AAATATTTGTGGTTATCTTGACATCTTACAGGTTTATAAATTATTGTTCTAGTATTCCATATTATTAAAATGTTACCATACAAGACAATAAAACCAAAGATGAAGAACACATTTTTAAAATCATCTATATGAAGAAGTATCAAATGATTAAGATTAATTCACTACAATCTTCCTATTCTTTCCATTTGATTATATAAAATTTCTATCTTCTTGTTACCAACAACACAATGGACAATCTGAGCCTTCTAAAACTCCATTCTTAACTCAAGATGTGATAAATTCATGGGCAATTTGGATACTTTGGGTGAAACTGGAGGCTATATACTTAAAGAGAATCAGATTAAAGTGTTATATGGGGACAGAGTAAATTGATGCTGAGAAGAGGAATGGTTTCTCTAATGGCAATTTGTTGGGGCCAAGAAGATATCATTGGTTACATTTCCTATTTCAGATTTAATATTTATAATACTGGGTTAAACAGTCTATAAAGATGAATAAAGCATGGAACCTGCCTTCACTGAGTTAATAGCCCAGCAGGGAAATAAATATGGTGTCAATAGCTACATGGCAAATAGACTGTCAAATGTATCGTGGTACCTTGAAATACAGTGCAACAATAACATCAATATTTACACTGACGATCACATTGTATTGTACAGAGTTCCTTAACTCCTTACAGAGTCTTACTCTCATTTCCATTTCCAGAGGAGCAAATTAAAGCACAAACAACTCACCCATGCCTTGTGAATAACAGAATTTGGATGTATATATTGGCAGGCTGATTCTGGAGTATGCACTCTTAACTACTGCTTATACTGTTTCTCTTATGAATGACTGTGTAACTAGCTCTGCCTGGAATCACTTGACTGTGTCCTTTAAAGGAGAGCAGTATTTTTTTAAAAATACAGAAAGAAGGAAAGAGAGAGAGAAGAAGAAAGGAAGGAAGAAAATCACCACTCTCTCGGGGCAGAGAGAATTCCATAAGCAACAAGACACAGAAGTGTAAAGTAGCGTGGGATGTTCTAAGAAGGTTCATAGAAGGTTCATATGATTTTCAGGAACCAAGTCATGGAGTGTTGTTGTTGTTTATTATTATTATTATTATTAGGGTATGTGTGTGTGTGTGTGTGTGCGCCATTCTTAGAAGTCTGAGTTTTGTTCTGTAGTTAGGAAAGTCTAACTAACACTTTAAACCAGACAGGGAGATGATTACTGTGATTACATTTTATGTATGTTTATATATATAATATATAATATAATATACATATATATATAGAATATATGTATTCAAAAAACAATGTGAAAACATTTTAGAGGACAGCCGTATTAGAGACAGGTAAAAGGTTAGTCCAGCTAAGAGAGGTGATTGAATAAACTCAACCAGCGGCAAGGACCAAGAGCTGGGGTGAAGATGTAGTTCAAAGATAGACTGAATAAGTCTTAATGACCAATTTTATCATTAAGAATGTTATAAAAGAGAAGAACCCAGAGATCTGGAGTTTATGGCCTAAATGGCTTTAGAGTGAATTATTGAAAAAAAAGAAGCAAATTTCATATTTGATTTTCATTTGAATTTGTTTGGTTTGTATTAGGAAACACTGATGAAGTTAAAGATCTCAGTCTGGGACAGACAAAGATATCTAAGAGCAATACCTAATAAGCAGTTAGAAACACAGGTAAAACAAAAATAACCAACCAGCCAAAGAAGAATTATTGTGCCCTGCATCTACTTATGAACTCCAAGTGTCAGCTCATGAGTCTTTATGTTCCCAAAGCAAGAGGAATGGATGAGATCAACCAGGAAAAAGACAAAACCTGAGAAAGATTAGTATAAGTGGGCGAAAAAGGAGGAATCAGAAGAAACCAAGTGAGTAGGAAGAGTACAGAGCAAGGAGGATCAGCAGGGAATGGAGTTGTGGGATCCAAGAGATAAGAAATTTCCAAAAAGGGGGTGCCTGGGTGGCTCAGTTGGTTAAGCGACTGCCTTCGGCTCAGGTCATGATCCTGGAGTCCCGGGATCAAGTTCCACATCGGGCTCCCTGCTCAGCAGGGAGTCTGCTTCTCCCTCTGACCTTCTTCCCTCTCGTGCTCTCTCTCTACCATTCTCTATCTCTCTCTCAATAAATAAATAAATAAAAATCTTAAAAAAAAATTTAAAGAAATTTCCAAAAAGGTATAAATGGCAACAATAACAACTCAAACGAGGCAAGATGTCAAATGGTGTAAGAACTAAAAGGGTGTCCGTTATAATGGATACATTTGGAGATCATTGGGAATATTAACAAAGGAAATTCCAGTCAAGTTTGAAACCAGACTTCATAATTTAATAGGCCTCATTAGAAAAGAATATGGGAAGACTGTGTACAGACAACTGAAGTTGTTTGGCAGTGAAGAGAAGGCTAAAATAGTATAGTCACTAGAAGTGATGTCATTGGCATGAAAATTGTTTTGCTTCTACCCTCTTGACAGGTGGAAGAGACTTCAGCATTTCTATAGGCTGAAAGGAATATTCAGTGGACAAGAAGGTCTTGAAGAGAGGGACTGGTCGATGGCATACAGTTCTTTATCAGTGAGAGTAGATCAGATGATAAGATCAAGAAGATGGGTATCTTCAGCATCTTAACGAAAATGTATTTCATGAGGGAACTATTCATTGTCACAAACATTTAAGTGGGCCGTGAAAAAGGATGAACCATTTTTGCAACTCTTCAAATAGTTCCAAGGATAGAGTATAACACTGTTAATATAAGGTGCAGATAAAGACATGTCATAGAGAGGGTGATTTAAGGTGTACAGATGGACTTGCAGCCAATCTCAATGTGGCATATGGGCAGTGAGCTGAAATGTGAGGTGAGGGCATGCAGAGGGAGAAATGTTCGCTGTGTTCCATGCGGTCCTCACAGCCTCTAACATGGCATTAACCCAAAGTTCCCTTTTGGTGTCTCAGATTAGGAACCAAAATCTCTTTTTACTTTCTCTTTAGGTTTGTGATAAATCAGGAAGAATACTTGGAAAATTATGTCTTTAGAGAAGACAGTCAGATTTTAGATTATGCATCGGAAAGACGACTGCCTAAAGCAATGCATAAGAAGGCATCATTCTCTCACTGTAGTCCAGGCCTAGATCACTGCTGCATTTCTAATCCTTCACATAGAGCCTTGGGTAAGAAGGAATTTATAATAGATATATAGATAAATATTACAGATGAATACATATATACATATACAGTATACAAAATATTAGCACTTATTGAAGCTACTTAGTGAACATATACATATTCATTCAATTATTATTTCTATTTTCCATTTATGTATATACATTTCCAATTGTAACTACATGTATTTTTACATGTATTTGGCTCTGCTCCCAAGCACCCTAAATTACAAATAGAAAGTACTTGGTACATAGTATGTGTTCAATACATGCTATTCCCTTCCATTATAACACCTATTTTCTGTCACTGTCGCTTAGCATATGATGCCTTGTTTCATATCTTTTGAGTTAATTATTTTATGTCCCCAACTATACAATGTGATTCTTGAAGATTTTCTTCTCCATTCCTTTCCTTCTTTTTACCCAGCAAGATTATAGTGCCTTGTTGGAAATAAGAACATCCTTACTGGATAAATCCTTAATTTTTGCTCTTGGAGAGAAGTTTTAATCAGCAAGGGAGAAAGGACTAGACTCCTTCCCTAGCCTACCATCCATGTTTACTCTTTTATGGAAGGGTAGACTATGAGTTCCTTGAAGGCAAAGATCTTGTCTCATATAATGTTTTTTAAATCTGTAGAGCATAGCAAAGTGCTTGGCAGACTCGTTGGATGTTTTCTGAATGAATGAATAAATCACTGCCTAAATGAATAACTCTAAGAATAGGAGATATTTAAATATTTCTGCTATCCCACAGATTTTCATTAGAGGCAGCTGACAAAATAGAAAATAGAGTTTGCATCTTTTTATCCTCTACATTGATCTTAAATGAGGTCTTCATTCTGATTAATTCTTTAATGAGACTGTAAGACAGAAAACTGAAAGCCATGGAGAAATCCAAGATGGAAGGCTATGAAAATAAAATAACCTACCAACTAAAGAATAATTATTGTCAATTGCAGGGCAGTTGAAGCAAAAAGAAGGGATTGGAAACTGAGAAGAAAGTTTCAACCAAAGATGTTCAGAATCACAGAATTTTTGAGAGGTCAGGTCATGTAGTTTAAGTCTTGTTCCTCAAAGGAAGAATCCTAGGCTATTCTTACTTATTCTAAGTAAGAAGCTATAAATTTCCAGATGATTAGTAAAATGAAGAGTGAGGGGTGTCTGGGTGGTTCAGTCGGTTAAGCATCTGACTCTTGATTTCGATTCAGGTCATGATCTCAGGGTTGCAAGATTGAGCCCTACATTGGGCTCTGTGCTGGGCAAGGAGCATGCTTAAGATTCTCTCCTCCCCCCTCTTTGCCCCTTCCCCCCACAAAAATAAAAATAAATAAATAAATAAAATAGTGAAGACACAATCACCAAGTTTCTAACTTGACTCTGTCCATTGCCTTCCTGATAGCCAGAAGAAAACAGCAAAAGCATTATTCATGTTGACATGAACTGAGAAAACACTAAAATTATTGAAAGCTAAACTCTATAGTTATCAGCAGGGCAACACTCTGATCCCAGAGACACACAGATAACGTCTTCCAGCCTAGCCCTATCTATGCTCCCTCTTCACATCCTATTCCTTACTCTTTCTAAGGGAGAGAGAAAGAGAGCATGAGGGAGGGAGACTTAATGCGGGTAGAGAACATGAGGGAATAGAGGACACGGAAGACGCTATGAAGTCAGAGTCATATATGGGAAGAAAAAAAAAAATACAATGGTGAGAAATATTTGGTTTAAAGTTTTTGTTTAAGGATTTAAAACAAAAGAAAGACATATTTGAACATTTTTCTTCAGTACTGATTCCAGAGATCAAAGATACCTTAGCAATTAAAATAGAGAAAATGTAGTCTACTTACCCATTCTGTATGGCGGCTGTGGGGTCATAGGTCAGAGCCATGCCAGCCTGTATACAGGGAGGAAAGAGGAGAAAACAAATCTTAACACTTTTATCTTGGTGCCCAAAATATTCAGTACACACAAATACTTTTATCTTTACTTTCCATGATTTAAGTTTATTTTATCCTACACATTTTTCCACCCTTACTGACAAGACTAGCATTTTTACTACCCACACATCAGAATCCACCAGTGAGTTAGGAGTTTATATTATATATCCAGACAAACCAAGGAACAATGCAGTTTGGATGATTTCCATTTCTACTTCATAAACCATCTGCTGTCTAATCTGGTATCCTTATAATTTCTCAATATTGTCAAGAGCACCTATTATAAGTCTCATGACTGAAAAAAAAGCAAGAATAAACCCTGTGGTCAGGATAAAAATAAAAGCTACTTAAAATGCATTCGACCTTTCAGAAGAAAATGTTAATAAATATTTATTTTAAAATAGATCGTATGCCTCGGGGTATGTAGATAATGAGTCACAGAGTGCTTGTCCAATATATTGCTAGTACCTGCCCTACTAAGAGTGGTAGTAAGGCAAGGTCATTTACACATAATGGAAATTCTAGGCCTTGTAGCTAATAAGGAGGTGGGTCTGTTCTGTTTCTTAAAATAAAATCATCTTTGAAAAACTAAACTTCTGTAACAGACAGTAGTTCCAGAAAAGAATAATAAACTTCACGACTGTTAATTCACAGCCTATCTTCTCCTTCATACACATCATCACATTTGATTCTCACAACAACCCTATGAAGTAGGCAGGAGAAACCGTTTCTCCATTTTGTAGATGAAGACACTGAAGCTTGGAGAGGTCAAGTGACTTGCTCAAGGTCCACATTTGGAGGCAGAATCAGATTCCAGCCCACATCTTCTGAGGCTCCCTTCCACCACCTATGACACTAACCTAGGGTCTGCATGAGACCTGATGATCATCTCCAGCAATGTGGGAGAATTTTCTCTGTGGGTGTATGGGCATACCACCTTTTGTTTCCAACACTGTCAGTCTGGTTACTGCTTGTGAGCAGAAACAGAATGTAGAATGAAACTCAAAACTGACTAGGTTGTCATCAGGTTAGATATTTTTCTTTCTTTTTTGAAATTCAAAAGTGAATTAGACTGATGTCAATTTCCTGGCCTCGATAGTGCACTATAATTATGTTAAGATATAACAATTGGAGAAATGGGGTGAAGGGTACACAGGGCCTCCTTGTACATTTCTCTTGCAATTTCCCATGAATCTATAATTATTTCAAAAGAAAAAGAAGAAAATGAATTAGCTTTGAGGACTTTTTTAGAAGACAAGAAATATCATAAAAACTTTAGAGAAAAGAAAAAGGAGATTTTGTGTTTTGAGTTTCAGTGTAGGTGAAGGTAGTTTTCCTGTTGGGATCATTGAATTCCTCACCTTTCACACATAACTGAAATGGAAATTCTCAGCCTTTCCAAGATAGGGCCTAAAGTCCAGTATGCCCTGCTATATTCAAGTTTAGATTACATGCATTATTTTTCCCAAACAGTTTTAAAATTGTTATTAAGATTGGTATAAAGAACAAAAGTGTAGAGCCATATATGAATGGGATCAGCATACTGGGAGCATACATAAACTGGAAGGGAGTTTGCAAGCAAAGTTGAGATGACTGTCAGAAGTTAGTAGATACGCACTGAAAATACATTTAATGATAACTGCATCTCACTCATGTTAAAGAAATATGCAACTGATAATATGACAAGCTGGGGGATTGGAAAATGAGAAGCAAATGTAGTAGTGCCAAAGCACAAAAGAGATCCTGGGGTGCCTGATTGGCACAGTCAGTTAAGCGTCCAACTCTTGGTTTTGGCTCAGGTTATGATTGGGCCCCTGAGTGGGGCTCAGGCTCATTATGGAGTCTGCTTGAGATTCTCTCCCCTCTCCCTCTCATGCTCTCTCTCGAATAAGTAAATAAATTTTTAAAACACAGACATACACACACACACACACACACACAAAGAGATTCTAAGTCTAAATTCTTCCCAAGAAGGAGCCTCTGCCATGTGACCGATGGGAGGCTGGCTCTAGGCTGAAGACTCCCCAGAATCGACCTGTCCAGGGTACGGCTCATAATCCATGGTTATGGCTGGCTACTGGAGAGGGCAGTTGTAAAAGTTGTCCATTGGGGATGAGATTTCTGTCTTAGAAATGCTAATCTTCTTTCCGCTAACTTATTCAAGATGTCACACCAGAGGCAGAAGAAAAAAGATGGGCTTTATATTCAATAGAATTATTGTTTGTTTTTGAGAGATTTAGGAAGAAGTCATACCTTCAGCCTCCTAACCACTGTAGATTGTTTAAATCCGAGAGGACTTATAGGAAGCCTTTCCTAATCAATCTTACATTTTCTTCTTTTCCTTGCACTTATGTTTCAATAGTGCTCAGAGATCAATGCCATTTAGCCTTTCTTGAATTATTAATTGTCTTGGACATTCTCTTCTTATGCCATGTTTATTTGTTCTGACAACTTTAAGTAAGGACTTTTTTTTCTCTCACATTTTACTTTAATTCCTTATGGATTATAGATAACAAATCACATCAGCTCTAGCTAGCAACATAGTAATTATCAATAAACTCTACCTTTTTGTTGAATATGCATGTGATAATCAGAAAGCCTAAATTTGCTTCTTCCCACATCTTTTTCTTTTTAAAGATTTTTATGTATTTATTTGAGAGAAAGAATGAGATAGAGAGAGAGCATGAGAGGGGAGAGGGTCAGAGGGAGAAGCAGACTCCCTGCTGAACAGGGAGTTCAATGCGGGACTCGATCCCGGGACTCCAGGATCATGACCTGAGCCGAAGGCAGTCATTTAACCAACTGAGCCACCCAGGCGCCTGCTTCTTCCCACATCTTAAACCTCTATTTCATCTTTCAGAAGATGGAAAAGAACTAAATAGATGGCAATATGGTTTTGTGGAAAGTATATGTTTTGGACCTGGGTTCAAGTGTTATCTCTGTTCCATTCTAGCAGTGTGACTTTGGGCAAATTATTTAACCTGTTTGAACCTCAGTGTCCTCAACTGTTAAATGATTTAGTAATACCTACCTCATTTGACTGTTGTGAAATTTAAATGAGATTACGTTTGTAAAGCGCCCAGCACAGTGCCTGGAGACAAGACACATACATAAATATTATAATACAAAGCAACGTGTGGTAAGTGCCATATGAGTGGTATAGATGAGGTGTGAAGAGAGAGGCTGGGGATGATCAGGGAAGCCATGTGGAGGACATACAGATGAGTGGAAACTTGAAAGATGATTAGGATTTCCATAGATGGAGATGAGAGATAGAGGCCAGCTCAGACAAAAAGGAATAGTATGGAAAAGATATAGAAATAAAAAGGGCAAGGTGAGTGATTCACTTGCAGTAGAACATTGTGGTGAGGGGGCAGTGGGAATTAAGACTCAAAAGAAAAGGGGGCAGAATGTTGATTGCCTGGCTCCTCTGGGGGAGCCTCTGAACATTTTTTGAGCAGGGAAATTATACAATCAAAGAGGGATTGGACAACAAGAAACAGCATGAGCCCCCTGGAAAACAGAGGGTCAATCCAGAGCGATGAGCAACTGGAGTAGGCACTTGGGGACAGGAAGGTGGAGAGAATCTAAGATGAGATTGTCACTGCAAAAGGGTAGGGAATGAAAACAAGATTCACCTACTTCATGATTTTGCCTAGGGACAGTCCTGCCTCTGAGTACCTTTGGCAAGAGGAGACAAGAGATAGTTTCAGGTCATATGCATTTGGAACATTATGGGTAACAAAACAAGGCATGGGTTAAACAAAGAGTTGTTTGAACTTAACCCACTGGCTGAATATTGTAGCACAATAACTAGTACTTGGCTCCACCTGGTTTTCATTTCATGTGTAACAGATTGTTGAGTTATAATTCTAATATAGTCTTAATGTAGATTTTGCATTCAATTTCCTTTTGTTTCTTTCCACAAAGGTAAAAAAGAAAATCAATTTTGCTGCCCTGTCTAGCCACCCTTATACTAAGTGAGAACCATGAAATCATCATTATGTAATTACCAAATTTTATGGCATGTTTACAAACTCCAGAGTCACACAAAAAGTAAAATAACTTGGAACAAAACAAAAATGTCACACCACATATGTAGGAAAGTGATGTTTAATCCTGTCTCTCTCCTTCAAGAGAGCTTATTAGATTCACAAATATTTTCCATTTTTCAAGTTTACGTTATTTGAGTATTGGAAGCATTTGCAATTTAAAACAAAAGGGGGAATTTTTGTCATTTTCCTGCAGCAGCTAAGTTTTTGCTTAGTATTTCAGCCATAATAAGGTATTTCTAGTCCTCCCAGACAGAATCTATACTATAAGAGCTAAATATTTGAGAAGAAATTTTAAAATACAGTTTACTGGAGTAAGTATCTAATTATTTTCAATAGATACAGGGATTTCACTGAGACACATCTGTTTGTCTTAGGAGCTAGATATTTGATATTCATAAAATTAAATAATTATTAATAGGTTAAATTAAGAGGTAATAATCATGAAAGTACTGCTTAAAATGTGCTAGGTGGGGTAGGCATTAGGCATTAACGCTTCAGAAAGATCTTCTGCACTGGAATTCTTGGTCTTATTGGAGGAGCAGAGCATCATTGAATATAACAAAGCCAAAGAGAAGATAGGCTGATGGAATTGATTTTATCATTTTTGAAACTATTTTTGTACTGTCATGTAAATGTGGATCAAAGAGTTTGAGGCAATAAACTTTATACAGACAGATCTACACTGTAATTCCTGGGAAATTGAGACATCGATGTTTTAGTGTAACATTTCTCTTTTTTCTAACTTCTGCCTTGTCAGATGATGCATCATAATTGTATGAGTAAAAATGAATAATCACAAGAATTTCCAATTTTCTACAACCAGATTTAAGGCAACACTTTAGTACATACAGAGTAAATATTATATATTTCAGTAAGTATTGTGTACTGAATTAGCACAAGATGAGTTCAGGAAACCAAAGAAGAAAAGGATAATCTAATTTTCTGGATATTATCTTGAAAGAGTTTACTTCTTGCAACCAATTTTAACAATATTTATAACTGTTAGTAGGTTACAGTTAAAAACCCTATAAATAAAATAAGGTGACTTTAGAGGTGATATGGGTAAAAGGGCTTGAAAATTATAATGTGTTATAAATGTTTAGGTCCTGCCACTGTAGCGAAAACTCACTTAACTTTGTTTATATTTATTTCCCAGTATTTCTCTTTAGAAAACATGTCCTTTAGTGAAATCCTGACACAAAATTATGTGTAAGATAGGGGCCAAAAAATAAAAATTTTAAAAATTAAAAAAAAATCTCTGACTAGAAATAGAACAAGAAAATAATTTCAACAATGTTAAATGTCAAAATATTAGAGTGTTATAACTGTAAATGATTTTTTTCCTTTCATATATTTTTCCTGACTTTCTTAAGTTGTGTATAGTTAGAATTACTTTTAAAATCCCTTTAATTTAAAGAAGCACATTATAGCTTCTATGACTTGTTTTTAATTTTTAAATTCAGGAGGAAAAACAAAAGGCATATCATTTGTAAAAGTAATAGAGATGAGAGGCCTGATTCAGGAGTAAGCTTGCAAATGTCAGGAAGCATTGAGCTTTGCTAGGTCAGTAGAGTACGGAAGATCTGGGATGGAATGAAAATTGCTACAGCCAGAAGGATCGATGTGAGAATGGGCAGGAGGTTATGAGTAAATCCTGAAAATTTGGAGTTAATGATATAGTGATTCTAGTGATGGAAGCTAGGAAGAATTCATAAATCCAAATGGCCATACTGTCTGAGAAACTTAGGATTTCACAGGTGATAACAGAAGTGTGGATACCCACAATAGCCAAACTGCGAAAGAGCCAAGATGTCCATCAACAGATGAATGGATAAAGAAGATGTGGTATATATCTACAATGGAGTATTATGCAGCCATCAAAAGGAATGAGATCTTGCCATTTGCAATGACGTGGATGGAACTGGAGGGTGTTGTGCTGAGCGAAATAAGTCAATCAGAGAAAGACATGTATCATATGACCTCACTGATATGAGGAATTCTTGATCTCAGGAAACAAACTGAGGGTTGCTGGAGTGGTGGGGGGTGGGAGGGATGGGTGGCTGGGTGATAGACATTGGGGAGGGTATGTGCTATGGTGAGTGCTGTGAATTGTGCAAGACTGTTGAATCACAGATCTGTACTTCTGAAACAAATAATACAATATATGTTAAAAAAAAAAAAAGAAGAAGCTAGCAGGAGGGGAAGAACGAAGGGGGGGAAATCGGAGGGGGAGACGAACCATGGGAGACTATGACTCTGAGAAACAAACTGAGGGTTCTAAAGGGGAGGGGGGTGGGAGGATGAGTTAGCCTGGTGGTGGGTATTAAAGACGGCACGTTCTGCATGGAGCACTGGGTGTTATATACAAACAATGAATCATGGAACACTACATCAAAAACTAATGATGTAATGTATGGTGATTAACATAACAATAAAAAATTAAAAAAAAAAGTGTGGATACCCAAGATCTTCAAAGGAACCAGAAAACTTGCCAGAAAACCATAAAATGATCAATACCAAGTAAGGTTTTTGGCCTAAGAAAGGATTTTAAACCTCTTTCCTGTTTAAAAAAAGGAACTAATTCTAGGAAACAATATGTTCAGGGCAAATTTGCAGGCAGGGTATCATAGCACTTGGTGAAAGGGGATGTGAGAAAATGGGGCTAGTGATAGGGTTTTGCCAGCAATGTCTCTGGTGTGGTCAGGTGATAACTGAAGGTGTGTTTCCCCAGGCAGAGGCAGTCAACTATATAAAGCAGGTGTCTGCTCTCACCTGCTCAAGGGATGTTCCCCAGGTTATGTGCAGCCAGTCCCTCTCCGAAAGAGAAGATGAGGGACAAATGAGACTGTCAATGAGGACATTGCCAAAGTCTACCAAAGGGAGATCATACTGCCTGGTCCTGGGATCAAATAGAAATGTCCTGTTAATAGTTCCGTAAAATATGCCCACCAACCTGTGCAATGGCTCATACTACATTCCTTATTTTCATAACTTCTAAATCTAAGGAAGATATTTATTTCAAATCATATTTGATTAGTTTGCATCATTTGACGAGTGATTTTCTTCTTCTTTCAACATTCCTTTCCCTTGGGTTCCCTGTGAGCCTAGTTTTCTTCTGAACTCAGAGACCAATTTCTCCTTTGATGTTGCTTGCTCCCCCTGCCTTTGAGATGCCTGCTGGTGCTCAGGGCCCAGATTTGCCTTCCTCTTCTCTCCTTCTGTACTGTGATGACATTCCCTTTCCAATCGCAATTATTATTTACGTCTCAGTGATTCCTGAATCTTGGTTTCAAACTCAAGTATCTATACTAGATTCCCCACATTTACTGAGAAGTTAAATTAGTAAATTGAATGTATGGTCAGTGTCTTTTTTCAAGTTATCATTTCTGGTTTGTGTGTTTACTAATATCCTTTGGCAGAGATACCCTTCCCTGCCTCTGCTTGCAACTCTCTTCCCATCCATCAGCCACACCACTGTGCAGTGAGGATTGCTCTTGGGATATAGAAAATGTCTCAGTCCTTGCTTGGTGAGTAGAGAGGGTGGAAGGGTTGGGATTGCTGAGAGACCTTCCAGATGCAGCAGGGAAGCCAGTGTACCTGAACTAAATCAGGAGCAAGAGCCTAGGAGAAGTTAGAGGTAGCCAGAAAACCTGGAGGACCCTCTTAACCAAGTTATTGACTCAGAGTGCAGAGAAGATTGTGAAAAGTCATCTTGACATCTTCAGAGGTTTGTCAGAAATCAAGAAATGGAATGCAGGGGATTTATCACTTAAAAAAAATAGCAAAGACAGGCAGAGAATAGAGAAAATTCACCTCTCTATGTTTGGGGAAAGAACATCAAGGGGAGTCATGTCCTTGGTTATAGACTATGTCATCATAGTATTTGTCCTGTTTGGCTTTTACTAAAGCATTCTAGTCAGAGAATTTCTCCCTTATACAGCAATAAAGAAGGACAAGATAAAAAGATGCAGACAGAATTAAGGCTGGATGGCTGAGAAAGCTAATGGCTGCACAAAGAAATCATTGTCAAAAGGGAAACAGAAGGAAAGGTATGATGTGGCTGGCTAAAGTTTACAAAGCTCCAGTGTGAGTAGGTCATTAAAACCAAAGTTAAATTAAGCTTTGATTGATCATCATAAAAGAGGCAAGAGAACATTATCATATTTTATGTAGGCACTTCTGCTTTTTTCTCAATCTGAATGACTAACTTCAAAGACTCCAAGACATTGTGTGTGTGTGTGTGTGTGTGTGCACGCGTGTGTGTGTGTGTGTTTCACATCTTGCTGTCTGTGAAATTGGGGCTTGCATGATAATTGATGGCATTTGAGTTTGGAAACTTTCTCCTCTTTTCAGTGATATTTAGAATAATATTTCATCTTTAATTGATGGTATCATAGAGTCAATGATGTAGTGCATATACTATTAAACCCCACCATAACACAGTAAGTAAGGTGAAAAATATAAAATGCTGAGGTTGCTACCAGAGTGAGCCTGTGCAACTGGATAGGTGGGAGTTCCAGGTATCTGACTAAGTTGATTCATATTCTCCCAGGTCCCAGGTGCAGTTTGATGCTACATGGAGGTTGTAACCTGCGGCTTAAATATTGATGGGGACAATTTTGAGTC